GTGAACGCCAACGATGCACTGAAGCTCGAAGACATCATGCCATGGGACCGATCTCATGGGCTTAGGCAATGGACTTGTGTTGCTTCCTGTCCATTTTAGATTCGACAGGAACTAGCAAAAGAAACTAACGAAAAAGCTGTTGTTACTTCCCCCCCCCCACTTGAGCCGAGCAGCGCCGCGGATGGTACTCGTAATAAATGAGGCTTTCGTGTACTTTCCAGATTTCTATTTGAAGTACCAAGGCAGGTGCTAAGGACTATTCGAAAGTGGGACAACAGTATTGTACCCCCACTGACATCTCGATGATGGATACGCCGTTAACCGTAATCGATGACACGCAATCACCGAATCGTCGATTGGAAAATCCATCGATTAACAAGGAAACCAGAATAAATAGCTGGATTCAAAATGCGGATGTTGCTGCATACGTTGCTACGCGTGTACAAGGAGCTTCAGATGATTTCGAAACAGGGCACGTTGTACACAGAGGAATTCCCAGCGGGGGTAGCGTTTGGCCCACGGCAGGTTGTACGCTGAGGAATCTCGAGCTGGGATCGTATCTCTTCGCTGGAGGAAGGAGGTCGTATACAGCCACCGAACTTTTTTAATAGTCGATTTTTCCTCTTCATGTGCGCTATTCACAACATTGGGAGACTCTCATTGTGCAGGGGATTGGAGAGGGGCTACGAGAGGGTCATATCGGCCTGTCGCTCTAGAGAGGGAGGGTGGTATCTGGCCGTAAAGGTAGTTGGCACGATAATTTTACACTCGGCCTAAAATGTTAGCAGGGTGCTGTATAGAGGGAAAATGGCGAAAAAACGAAGTGAAACGGTCAAAAACCTGCGAAGAAAAGCCTTCGTTCTTTATGACTTCGAAAGCGATTTCGGACGAGTTTCCCGTAGGCATCGTGCAAATCACCACCGCTACGGTGAGAATGGTGCATATATGGACTCCTGTGATCATGCACCAACCGCGCGGGCCCGCTTCATACCAAATCCCTCGATTCAATATTTTGCTTGCAAAATGAAGGCTAATACAAGCGTCCATTTGAGGCGGCGAGCGGGTGGGCACGTTCGGGTCGGTATGTTGTGGCTTGGTAGAGCCGCCGCTGCAGCAGGATACTTTCTTTAGTCAAGGGCGCCAGGCGGGAGCGGGAGCGGGCGGGGGGGGGGCGCGCCTGGCCTAGGGTCGCAGATTCTGTCAGCTGGGCGTATTGATCGCCACTCGTTCTACGAGACTTTATCAGGCTAATTGCCTTTTGAGAAGAATTCCTCCTGCTGTTGACTTTTCGCGTTTTTCCCGTTAACCATGTGCTATGAATGTTCCCGGCCGCCGTGCTGTATACGTCGCGCTAGCTGTAAACAAGGTCAGAATACGATCACTATTTTTCAATAGTCACAAGGCCATCACCTTTGGGAATTCCCAGCACGGAAATCGTATTTGGTTGCTGAGGAGAGGAGGGGGAGAGGGGGGGAACATATTTGGCCTCCAAAAACTTTTTGATAGTTGGTTTTCCTTGTTCCACGGATGCTATAAAGGGGGGGGGTCGTATTTGCCTTCAGGCTTTCAGGGAGAGGTTGTTGACTTTTCGCTGTTTCTCCCGTTTCACATTTTCACATGTGCCATATGCCCCCGCGCTCGACATCTCACCATCAGTGAGGAAGGAACTAGGGGAGGTCGTATCAAGCCACCTTTTAGAGGGGGGGGGTCGTGCGAACTCGACCAAAGCCCCCAACCATTAGTCGAGATCAGCAGTTATTTGGTGGCAACCCCTTCCCCCTCCCCTTCCCACTCGACACCAGTTATTTGGGAAAACAGGAAAACTACGAAAAAAATAACTAGGTGGGCCCAGAGGAGGGAGATCGTACCAGAGGAGATTTGAGAGGGAAGGTCCTATTTCGCATAAATTTTTCCCAGCGACAGCAAGTGAACAGTTTCGTAGCTAAGTCAAGTGGTTGAATCATCTCCCTGTGCACTCACCTTGTGGTAGACGGATGTGGCTGCGTGGGACCACTGTTTCTTCGGCCATTTCGAACCTTTTTGAACTGACCACGAATGTACCATTGAAGGTCGTCGGCGACTTCCGTTGCTGCCACTCTGTTGCACTGTAATTAACACACATACACATTCTTTCGCCGTCTTCAGCGAATTAACATCACAGCAACAGATCCAGGGCGCCCAACCGAACTAGTTGACGCGTATACAATGCAATTCGATTATACTTCGAATCAAGAATTCATTGAGAATTTTGACCAATCAGCTTTGCGGTCGGAAAAAACCCGTCCGCTGAGGGAAACGTTCTCAATCTAATCCGGGAGGTTTCCCGGAAAACCCGATCTTCTGAGAAAATTCATAGATAGGAGGATTCTTTTGTCAACACCGTTCCCATTACCAAAATGGCGAATAACCTGCTTTTCCTCTTTCCTTGAGCGGTCCTCAAGGTTGCCTATTAATTAGGAGGTCAGGTCAGAAGTTTTCAAAATCACTTCTTCCATGTTGTGAAGAAACATACATTTGGCCGTAATCCCTGCAAACTATAGGGCGTGTGAAAAAGCGTGAACTAGAGCGCAGCCAAAACAGTTATTCCCACCAATTATAGTGGGCTCAGGATGGAGTCATGGTTGGAAATGAACGCCTTGATAGTCCACCAATCCACGCCCCGTCACTGCCCTATTGTTTGCAGGGATCATGACTGTACAAGGATCACAAAAATGAGATTCACTCTTCCTGTGGGCATCTGGAAAATATCAAGAAAAGGTGGATCACGGAGCAACGGTTCAAATCCCAGTGATGAAAAAATTTTGCACTCCTGAATTCTATTTTTTTTTCTGCCTGCATATATCTGAAAATCATGCCCGAACCAAGACGTGTCCAAAACACCCTAATTTTCTGTGCCCCTACAAGAGGCGCACTTCGGTTGCGAGAGGGGGGGG